GAGAGAGAGAGAGCACATGAGAGGGGGGAGGGTCAGAGGGAGAAGCAGACTCCCTGCTGAGCAGGGAGCCTGATGCGGGACTCGATCCAGGGACTCCCAAGATCATGACCCAAGCCGAAGGCAGTCACCTAACCAACTGAGCCACCCAGGTGCCCAGTTTTACATTTTTTAACGTAAGGTTTTAATACCAAGTTGAGTTCATTTCCATTATTCTTTAAAGTGAACACAGTGCACTTTAGAAGTAATTTAAACAAACAGAGCTCTTTTTATTTGATATTGTTAGGAAAATGATCAAAGGTATGTTCCTTAAATTTTTATATCTGGTGATTTGTATCTAGATTTTCTTTTTGTGGTATACTATCTTAACTGTTTACTTTTTATTTGTAGGGTACATTTAAATTCAAAGCAGAGAGTGATCTGTTTCTTGCTGAGCATCATAAACTTTTATTGTATGATGGCAAACTCTCTAGTGCCATTGCATTCACCTACAATCCACGTGCTACAGATGCCCAGCTCTGCCTTGAATCATCCCCTAAGGACAATCCTTCAATTTTTGTCCATTCACCGCATGCACTTATGCTCCAGGTACTCGCTATCTATAATCTTTTTTTTTTAAGCTGTAATCTTTTACGAATATTTTTCATGGTGAATTTTGATGTGTTATTGAGGTGTATTAGGTATCTTCTATTAAATACACGCAATGTAACATTATATTGTTCCTATTATACTTTATTTTAATTATTTTGGAAAAGAAATCATTAGAATCTTTACTGTGTTTTCTATTTTATAAGGATGTGAAAGCTGTTTTAACACATTCCATTCAAAGTGCTATGCATTCAATTGGAGGAGTACAAGTGCTGTTTCCACTTTTTGCACAGTTGGATTATAGGCAATATTTATCTGATGAGGTTGACTTGACTATATGGTGAGTGCCTTTATTTTTTTCTTTAATTTGATGTGAGAGTTACTTTCATTACTGTTGAACTACACAATATTTTTTTCTGCCTTTTAAATTTGTTGTAGGATTAAAAGAAAGAATATAATTTAAAGAAATTTGTGAACTATAAATGTTACTACAAATTCCTATCAGTAATGGTAGTATTAATCTAAATTCTTTATCAATAGGAAATATGGAAGCTGTAAAAAAACATAAACTTGTTTTTGAATAAATTTGGAAATAATGATTTAACAAAAATGAATACATTTTTGTCTATCATTCTAATTTAAAAAGATAAGTTATTTTAGATTATTATATGGCAGTGATTTATGGGGATTTAGCTTTTCATTTTTTAATTATTGTATATAACTAAAAACTAAAATTTTTGATGATGTTATTTATATTATAGGTAATTTGGTATTTTTTTACAATTAGATTGTACATTGGACACATTTGTCTCCTCTCTTAAAGTATAGATTCTGAAAAAGGTAGAGATATAAGAGGACACAATATAAAACATTGGAGAGGTGTCTAAATGAATTTTTTTTTTTTTAAAGATTTTATTTATTTATTTGACAGAGAGAGAGACAGCGAGAGCAGGAACACAAGCAGGGGGAGTGGGAGAGGGAGAAGCAGGCTTCCTGCCGAGCAGGGAGCCTGATGTGGGACTCGATCCCAGGACCCTGGGATCATGACCTGAGCCGAAGGCAGACGCTTAACGACTGAGCCACCCAGGCGCCCTCATGGCTGTATATTCTAGTGAGACTAGTAATTATGTTTAATGTATTATTTGAGTAAATGAGTTTTCCATTCTTCCTTTTTAGAATTCTCTTTTCTGTGTTTATATATAAGTTGAAATCTATTAATGTATGTATTTAATGATGTAATAATTCTTTTGGAATTATTTTTAAGCAACAAAATGACTTTTTAAACTTTATTTATTTTTTTATTTTTAAGTAATCTCTACACCCAACATGGGGCTCAAACTCACAACCCCAAGATCAAGAGTCACACACTCCACTGGCTGAGCCTGCCAGGCACCCCATCTTTTTTTTCCCTAAGGAATGAGCTATCAAATCAAGTGCTTACGACATTTAAAAAAATTAAAATTATCCTTGACATATTGCTACTTTGTAAATTTTTTTGTGTGTCCTGGTTTGAAACCTTTGTAACAGAGCTCAGTTATTTTTTCTTGGTTATCCCTTTTTTTTTTTAAACTTTTCAAAATCTTTATTGGAATTGCTGACATTTTAAAAGCACTTTTGTGGAGGAGGAGATTGGCTGCCAGTTAGGCTCTCTTTTTTTGTGGAGGTATCTCAGAGCCTTGAGAAAGAGGTAACAGCTGACCTTATTCCATTCCATTTTCAGTATCTCTAGAAGTTGTGAGGATGGGAACATGACTGTAGCCCCTATTCATTTTTAAAAGTCTTCTCAATTGACTCCTGAGTTATGATTTTCCTGTTGGGATAAGGTACAAAATTCTTAAACTAGTGTTTGAGGACTTAAGTTTAGTACAATTTTACTTTCGTATTTTCCCCTTCATGATCTCCATTCAAACCAGGCCAGTCTGGACCCTAACACATTCTGAGTGTTTCTACCCTGGTATGTTTGCTCTATGTATCTTTCCCCTCTGTTTGGCCTCTAGCTCTCTGAAATTGAATATACTTTCTAATCTAAATTATATATATTCTTTAAGGACTTCATATACTTATATTTTTGGACATTGCTAATTTTTCTCTGGTTCATGCATGTTTCCTCATGTTTTTTCTAAGTAATTCACTTACTAGTAGGTTGGTGATAAAGTATATGGAATAAACAATTGAGTAAGTTCTAATCCTACATTCAGATTCTAGTCCCGAAATAATGTTGGAGGCAATTTTATTAAAACTTCAATTTCTTTAAATAGAGAACTTTTTTTTTTTTAGATTTTATTTATCTATTTGAGAGAGAGAGAGAGCACAAGAGGGGGGAGGGTCAGAGGGAGAAGCAGACTCCCCGCTAAGCAGGGAGCCCGATGCGGGACTCGATCCTGGGACTCCGGGATCATGACCTGAGCCGAGGGCAGTCCCTTAACCAACTGAGCCACTCAGGCATTTTTTTTTTTTTTTTTAAGATAAAAAAAGGCTGTATCTAACAACCCCCCCCACCTTAAAAAAAAAATTTTTTTTTTAGACTATTGCCTGTTTTCTTATTCTAGTTCAACTTTGCTGGCTTTTATCATGGAGTTGTTGAAGAACTCAATTGCTATGCAGGAGCAGATGCTTGCCTGCAAAGGCTTCTTGGTAATAGGATACAGTCTTGAAAAGGTAAAGTATGAAATGCTTTACATTTTTTGTTCTTAATTTTCAGGCCATGGATTTGATCTCCTAAGTGGTTGAGAAATTCTTTCTGCAAGTATGTCTCCTTGGTTACATAAAATTACCAAAATTAAAATAACCTTTTGTTGTTTTACCTTGCCTCTGTTGCTTTATTAGAGAAATACAGCATTGAGTCTCACGGCATCTTTAACTTTGAGCACAGTTTGCCGGCCAACTTTTTTCTGATATTGATAGCCTTTAATTTACTTACCTTGCCTTGTATTGGTAGTGACCTTTTTTTTTAATTTTTTATTTTTTTAATGGAAAGGGACAGAGTGGGGATGGAGGAGGAGTGAGAAAGAGAGAGAGAATTTTAAGCAGGCTCCACACCCAGTGCAGAGCCGGACACAGGGCTTGATCTCACAACCCTGAGATCATGACCTGCATGAAATAAAGAGTCAGATGCTTAACTGACTGAGCCATCCAGGGGCCCTGGTAGTGACCTTTGATCTACTTTTTTTTTTTGCAGTCTTCCAAATCCCATGTCAGCAGAGCAGTACTTGAACTTTGTCTTGCATTTTCAAAATATCTGAGTAATCTGCAGAATGGGATGCCCCTACTCAAACAGTTGTGTGATCACATTCTTCTTAACCCAGCTATATGGATTCATACCCCAGCTAAGGTAATATATATATATATATATATATTTTGTTTTTCTATTTTCACCAAGTTTTTGTAGTTGAGAAGAGTGATAAATATGAGGATTTTCTTTTATCCTTTCACATGCTATCATGTAAAATTTCAATGGATTGTGTTTTTTGATAAGCATACTTTTTTTCTTTTTAGGTATATTTGCAAATCAGTGTATCTTTTCTTTCTTTTTTTATAGAGCAGTGTGTTTTTTTAAAATTTTAATTCCAGTATGGTTAAAATACAGTGTTATATTAGTTTCAGGTATACAATATAGTGATTCAACAATTCTGTGCATTACCCAGTGCTTATCATGACAAGTGCACTCCTTAATCCCCATCACCTATTTCATGCATCCCCTAACTCACCTCCCCTCTGGTAACCATCAGTTTGTTCTCTAGTTAAGATCTGTTGCTTGGTTTCTCTCTCTCTCTCTTTTTTCCCTTTTCTTGTGTTTTCTTTCTTAAATTCCATATGAGTGAAATCATATGGTATTTGTCTTTCTTTGACTTATTTCACTTAGCATTATACTCTCTAGCTCCGTCCATGTCGTTGCAAATGGCAAGATTTCATTCTTTTTTATGGCTGAATAATACTCCATTATATAGATACACCACATCTTCTTTATTTGTTCATCTATTGAGGGACACTTAGGCTGTTTCCATAATTTGACTGCTGTAAAATAATGCTTCTATAAACATAGATAGGGATACATATATCCCTTTGAATTAGTGTTTTTGTATTTTTTGGGTAAATATTTGTGCATTACTGGATTGTGGGATTCTATTTTTAATTTTTGAGGAACCTCTATAGTGTTTTCTGCAGTGGCTGCAGTAGTTTGCATTCCCACTAACAGTGCAAGAGGGTTCTTTTTTCTCCACATTTACTTTCTCCACAAGTTACTTTTTAAACATTTGCTTCTTGTGTTGTTGATTTTAGTCATTTTGACAGGTGTGAGGTGATAACTCACTGAGTTTTGATTTGCAATTCCCTGTTGATGAGTGATGTTGAGCATCTTTCCATGTGTCTTTTGGCCATCTGAATGTCTTCTTTGGAGGAATGTCTTTTCATTTCTTCTGCCCAATTTTAATTGGATTGCTTGTTTTTTGGGGATATTGTGTAAGTTCTTTATATATTTTGGATACTAACCCTTTATCAGATAGGTCATTTGCAAATATCTTTTTCCATTCAGTAGGTTGCCTTTAGTTTGTTGATTGTTTCCTTTGCTGTGCATAAGCTTTTTATTTTGATTTAGTCCCAGTAGTTTAGTTTTGCTTTTGTTTCCCTTGCCTCAGGAGACATCTAGAAAAATGTTGCTATGGCTGATGTCAGAGAAGTTATTGCCTGTGCTCTCTTCTAGGATTTTTATGATCTCAGGTCTCACATTTAGTTCTTTAATCCATTTTGAGTTTATTTTTGTATATGGTGTAAGAAAGCAGTCCAGTTTCATTCTTTTGTATGCTGCTGTCCAGTTTTCCCAGCACCATTTGTTGAAGAGACTGTTGGATATTCTTTCCAAGCCATGTCAGTATTTTTAAAAAACAGAGCTATAGTCTTTATTTTCTGTTACATCAAAATTTTATTTGAGAGAGACTTTGATTTACTAAGTATAAATAAAAGTTGGACAGTTCCAATATAAATATGTTTCCTATCAACTACCTCTATTCTGTTGCCAGTATGCATACATATCACTGTGTACACATGTATGTATACATATACATGAGTTTAATTCTGCAGGAACAGTTGAAATGTCACCTGGTTTTAAGGCTTGCATGATATACTGATCTCAATCATTTTAATTCACATGAATTTAAATTATTAAATACAATTATATTTGTACACGACTTGTTTAGTATTGTAACAATAAACCAATTACTTCTAAGTGAATATAAGTGAATTTGTGATAAAGTATATAAATAAAACCTTTGTTAAGTCCTAATGTATTAAATTCCCCTAAGAATATTAATTACGGTAGTGTTCAGGAGAACTTGAAACAGAAATTTTTATTAAATTGCATAATTGTATCTGCTTTATCTGCAGTTTTTGTTAGAAGTTGTATTATTTCATACCTATTAATTTCTTCTCTCCCCTTCTCCCTTTTGATCCACTGAGAATGTTTATCATTGTTTAGGTTGGAATAACACATAGTTATTTTAGTTGTCAGGAAAAAATGCAGACTTTCTTTGCTTTTCTAGAGTCACAGTATCTTATTTTCAGTTGGTCTTTTCAAATGTTAAAGAGAAAAACAGCTGCTGACTCTGATTGCCATTTGGAAATAATCAAAGGAGACAGCTGGAGGTTGTACCTTTTTATCTCTGGGTTCAAATTTGACCTCTTTTTCTTCTTTGACCCTCAGTCTTATTTCTTTTCAAGGATTCTTTCAAGTTACTTTTTAAACCTTTTACTAGGCACTTTTTTTGTCTTACTAAGCAGCATATTTGTAAGGCTTTGGATCTCTTTTGATGTGGTCTAAAAGCCTCTTAGACTTAGTTGTAGAGGAATATTTTAAAAATTCATTATATCATTTTCTTAGGCTCCCGGTATTACTACACTCTATTTCTTACTTTTCCTTGTTAATAATTTTCTTTAATTTTGTTTTTAGAATTTATAATTGATTTGTTAATGTTAAACTTTCCTTGTTTTAAAAACGCTGTTTTCTGTATCCATAAGGGGTTATAAATTGTATTATAAAGATGGTCCTAAGGTGGTTTGTTTTCTGAAGTTTCTTTGTTTGATCTGAGTGTTATACAGTTACAGGGAGGGAGGAAATTTTTAAGAAAAGAAATACAACATGATGCATACAAAATGAGGTTTAGGGTTTTGCAGAGAACCTGTACAGATAGTGAGCATAAAGTTTAAGCTTCATTAGCTTCGTGGTAATTCCACCTGTGGTTACCAAAGTTGAAGATACGTATGAATCAACCTTTACTTTTGGAAGAGGGTGTTTACTGTGCTGTATAATATCTATTCATTTTCTCAGAGACTTTTTAATGACCTAAAAGGAGAGGCAAAATTTCTTGTATAAAATAGTCCTTCATTTGTGGAGTAACTAACTGCTTTATGATGGGCACTGTGGATGCTGTGGTGAACAAGAGAGATCTAATTCTTGCCCTTATATAATGTCCAGTGGGAAAGACGGATATTAACACATACAATTTATATGGTTATTGGATTGTATGATGAGTAAATGAGGAAATGTTTATTCATTGTTAGCATATGGATAATCTTGAGGTCACCATTCTCACTCATCTCAATATGTTGATATTAAAGCCTTTTCGTTTTTCTTTTACTACCATATTATTCTGAATAGACTGACCCAGGGCAGAGGTTCTCAATCTTGGCTGTCAATAGAACCTGTTGGGAGAGGTTTTTTTTTTTTTTTAAATAGAAAACAGAATTCCACACCCTCTACTCCACATTGTGTTTTATTTGGTTTGGGGTAGGGCCCAGGCATCAGCATTTTTAAAACATGTTTTTCCAGTATTCTAATGCACAATCAGGATTGTGGACCATTTGACAAGATCTTGGGAAACCTGTTGTTGTCTGATCTACCATTTTCCCTGTTTGAATTTCTACTTTTGTTCTACCTATCTTACTACTAATCTTCAAAGCCTACTTTAATACCTGTTTTATTAGTCAGGCTTTTTTGAGTATTTTAGCTTATCCTATAATAATTTCTCTGACCTCCAAATTGATAGATTCTAATAAGTCTTTGCTACTCATTTTGCAATTAATTACATATTTTGCAATTAGCTACATGGAATTAATTACATACATACTTATGTTTCTTTTTTTTTTTTTTTAAGTGATCTCCACACCTAGTGTAGGGCTTGAACTTACAACCCCAAGATGAAGAGTTGTATGCTCTACCAACTGAGGCAGCCAGATGTCCCTTTATAAATGTGTTAATTCTAGACTTTTTTTTTAAAGATTTTATTTATTTATGAGAGAGAGAGAGAGCACAAGTGATGGGGGCAGGAGGAAAGGCAGAGGGAGAGGAAGAAGCAGGCTCTACTGAGGCAGGGCTTAATCCCAGGACCCTCATATCATGACCTAAGCTGAAGGCAGACGTATAACTGACTGAGCCACCCAGGTGCCCCAATTTTAGACACTTTTTAAAAGAATTTCCTTAAGTAATCTTTATGTTTCAATAGGCATCTTTATTACATTGGTTTTTTACTTAAATTTATGTGTTTTTTTCATCTTTTCAACTGGATTTCAGCTATTGAGGGATAATGTATATGTCATTGTATTTCTATAATACATCACTATGCATAGGTGGATGTAAATATTTTCTAAATGACTGAAATAGTTAAGAATTTGAACTGTGGTTCAATTTGAATTTGAACCATGTCAAAAAAGTGTTATATAGCCTCAATGACAAGTAAACTGGGCCTATCCATTTGAATAATTGAATAATATTAGCTGCATCAACATTATTTTTCAGTGAGACAGTGGGATAGTCCACATATATAGTTTTCTAAACTATAATCATCATAAAATTGAACCTCGATTTTAAGTGGTTCAGAATCTGCCACTCTTCACCATTATGGTTACTAATTGATTCTCTGATTCATTTAACCTTGATTGTTTATTTATAGGGCATCTGGAAGATAGGTACCTAATTTTTGCACTCTAAAGAAATTACCAGGTAACACTGACGTATCTTGCAGGGTTGAAAGTGAAAATGCCGTCAGTGTCTAGGAAGATAGCATAAGTGTTCCATTTTAAATGATTGGGAATAGTTTGGTCTTTGGTTAAGGGCGAGTATATATGTTCTACCTAAAATTTTTCACCTTATAAAGTATATCTACTAGCAATGAATTGAAAAATTCTTGATTTTAATACAATAGTAGAACAAAAGCAATCCTTATTTTGTGCTGTTGGAAGTACTAGATTGTAGCTGTTAGTGAGTTTTAGAGCCGTAATTTCACTGAAATTTTGTACTAATATGAAATGTGTGGTGGTAGAATAGTACCTATAATCTTTTGTTTCTTTTAAGAGCTTATATTTTGAAGTTACTAAGTTCTTATGTGTTTATTGAAATAATTTATTTGGAAATAAGACTAGTAGAATCCTTTTCTTTTTTTTTTTTTTTTTAAAGATTTTGTCAGAGAGAGAGTGCATGCGAGAGAGAGCACGTACACAAGCAGGGGGAGTGGCAGGCAGAGGGAGAAGCAGGCTCCCTGCCAAGCAAGGGGCCCAATGCGGGACTTGATCCCTCATGACCTGAGCTGAAGGCAGATGCTTAACCAACTGAGCCACCCAGGTGTCCCAGTAGAATCGTTTTCTAATTAGAGGATAATACTGATAAACATTTTGAGAGATTGTAATCTTATGATTATAATCTTTCTATCAATGAGCTATTATAACAGAATTCTGTTTTTCTAATATTTCTTAAGGTAGGCTTTACACTTTTTTATTCCTTTTGGCTTCTACTGTTTTCCCTTTCGAGTTATTCCTATTTTTTCTTTTTTTGTTATTTTAGCTTCTACTTCTCTGCAAAATGAAGAAAATTTCCAGCTTTTTAAAGCAACTATGCATAGTATAATTAGTAAGCTTACTGTAAAGAAGTTATATATGCTCATGAATAATTGCTGATTGCTTAATAGGAATTAAAGTTATTTCCATGGAACAGTGCTGTAAAAATTTTATATATTAGGGGATGTTTCCTTTATAATGTTACTGTAAAAGTAGCATTTACTTGGTTTAGTTTTATAAGTAATGTGTGTGCTTTTGTGTGTGTGTGTGTGTGTGTGCATGCGTGTGCGCATGCCAGTATGTGTTATCTGTTAGCATGGATGTTACCATCAAACTCAGCATATTACTTTTTTTTTTTTTAAAGATTTTATTTATTTATTTGAGAGAGAGAGAGAATGAGAGAGAGAGAGAGCAAGAGAGCACAAGAGAGAGGGGAGAGTCAGAGGGAGAAGCACACTCCCTGCTGAGCAGGGAGCCTGATGCAGCACTTGATCCTGGTACTCCAGGATCATGACCTGAGCTGAAGGCTGTCACTTAACCAATGAGCCACCCAGGCGCCCAGCATCTTACTTTTTGGAATAAGTATGATCCAAGTAAAACAGCCTGAGAGTATTCCTGGAACCAGTGGTAAAATGCTAGGCTGCTTCTTTGATGTAAGTTCTTCATTTTGATTCTCTAGGTTCAGTTGACACTCTATACTTACCTATCCACGGAATTCATTGGTACAGTCAACATATATAATGCCATTCGGAGAGTTGGAACAGTGCTTCTCATCATGCATACACTGAAGTATTACTACTGGGCAGTGAATCCTCAGGATCGAAGTGGTATCACCCCTAAAGGATTAGGTATGTTATCCCTGTTTATATATTTTGTCATAGATTTTTTTTTATTTTCTTTGTTTTAACCACTAATATATTATTCTTGAAGTTTTTCTGAATATCATCATGGCAAAATTTTATTTTAATCTTATTGATAATTTTAATAGTTTGTCTTGAATTGAGGTTGCCAGAAGTTAATAACTTGCTACTTTTATGGAAGAATGCTACTTCTGCTGGTATAAGTTGTTTGCAGAGCAAATATGATACAATTAAGGCACTGAAAATGAGAAGTTCTATTTTAGCATATGGTATTGATCCTGAAGCTAATTATCATAATGAGAATTATTGAAAAACCATGTTTTTTGGGAAATAGAGACTTCTTGAGGAAGTAGGGGATGTATTTACTTCTAATAAATAATATAATGAAGTTACAAAATTTCAGTAATTATTTTCCTGTATAATCAGGAAATTACTGGAGAGATAATACTCATTCATCATGTCAAATTTATGGAAGGTATCAAAATAAAAATTATGACAAATGGTGGGTCTTTTGGTTTAAGTGCAACCTGCTTCAAATTGGCTATTGTTGTAAAAGGGAGTTAATCAGCTCATATAAACTGGCATTTTCAGTTGAACTTAGTGCAAGGGTTCAGAATATGCCCCTTGAACCCAGTTTGTCTCTTCATTTTACAGTTCTTCTGTGTTGGCTCTTTTCATGTATTCTCTCCCTTGTAGTGCCAAGCAGCCACCCTACCTTCACATCCTTAAAGCTGTAAGTCTAGCAAAAAAGTGTCTGCCTGTATGGAGCATTTCCAGCTAAAGTCTCTTTGTCGCTCATTGGCTCTGATTGCATCATGTGCACAGTCTTATGTGGCAGATATTTTTCTGATTGCCCATACATGGGCATGGAAGGCCTTCGCACTTCTGAAATACATGGTCTGAGAGTGAGGATGGGTTCAGTACCTTGATAAAAATTGAAGACTGCTATTTGAAATCAGGAAATAGATCTGGAGAGTCATTGTATTTAAATGCTTTGGCTATTCAGTGATTTTCAAACACAGGTTTCATATTAATACAGTGTTTCTTTATCCCTTTCAAAATCTGCTTATTCTCAGAGAATATGCTATGTATAATTCAAAAAGATATGAGCACACATAGAAGTTGTATGATCTGTTTAAGGTGGTAGTTTTGTGGCAGAGAACTAGGTCATAATTTCCTCATGACTATTTGATGATACTGTAGCTGTATCATGTACTGTCCTGGGTATTAGTTTTGTATTCTGGCATTGATTTTATAACTGATTAGTGACCTTGGGAAAGTCTCATACTTGAAGTGAGAGAGCTGGACAAAGTTTGTGATTCTATTGTAATTTTGTAACCGATTCTTTGTCTAGGAATTGTCATGTGGAACAAATTTTAAGCAATTTTCTTCCTATTTTAATTGATCTATTTAAGGTCATGGTGGTCTTGTGCTTTGGTGGTCTAAGAACTAGCTATAAATAGTGATTAGTGGAGGGAAAATTGCAGAAAATATGAAGCAAACAGGTACCTAACTTCAGGATCTTACAACAATGGGTGTTTGGTTTCAGAAGCTTTCTACTTGGGGATTATTTGTTTGAGACATGAAAATTGTCTTTAATGTGAGCCATGTGTGACCAGGGACTTTTTAAGAAGGGGAGGAGATGGCAGAGGTAGTCAACATAATGTTTCCTTTCTAAATGAACCAAATGATGTTGAGGTGTACTTTAAAAAATTTTTTTATTAGCTTATACAAGAGTAATGGACGCTTTTTTGTTTTTTAACTAAATTCACATTTAAGTTTGGATTTTCCTTTGTAAACTGTTACTGTACTAACATTCTCAGAGTCTTTCAAAACAAAATATAAGTGCATATTATTATTGAATACAAATTTTATTACCTCATTTTTATATTTTGGAATTCATCTAACCTTTATCAAAAATAAACTCCTTCATTGTAGTTTCAAAGTAACCCATTTTGTACATTTGGAGCACTGTATATACTATTGTATGTGAGACTGAATGTCTTTCTAGAGGCATAAAACTCTTTAAATTGAAGAATAATTGACAAACAGTTATTAGTATCAACATAGTGATTTGATATTTATATACATTATGAAATGGTCACCTCAATAAGTCTAGTTACCATCTGTCAACATGCAAAGTTGTTGCAATATTATTGACTATATATTCCTTACATTGTACATTAAATCCCTGTGACTTATTATTTTATAATGGGAAAATTGTACCTCTTGACCTCTTCACCTATTTTGTGCATCCTCCCATTTTCTTCCTTCCTCCCCTCTGGCAACTCTCCGTTTGTTTTCTGTATTTGTGAATCTGTTTCTCTTTTGCTTTGTTTGTTTTTTTTTCACATTCCACGAACAAGTGAAATTATATACTATTTGTCTTTTGCTGTCTGACTTACTTCACTTAGCATCATACTCTTTAGGCCCATCCATGTTGTCACAGTGAGAAGTTTTCACTCTTTTTTTATGGCTGAATAATATTCCTGTGTGCGTGCATGTGTGTGTGTGTGTACACACACATACATACACCACATCTTTATCGATGTATCTGTCGATAGACATTTAGGTTACTTCTGTATCTTCACTATGGTAAATAATGCTCTGCTTAACATGGGGATGCATATATGTTTTTTTTTTTTTAAAGATTTTATTTATTTATTTGAGAGAGAGAGCATGAGCAGGGGGAAGAGACAGAGGAAGAGGGAGAAACAGACTCCCTGGTGAGCAGGGAGCCCGATGCGGGACTCGATCCTAAGACCCTGAGGTCATGACCTGAGCCGAAGGCAGATGCTTAACCGACTGAGCCACCCAGGCATCCCTGCATATATGTTTTTGAATTAATGTTTTTGTTTTCTTTGGATAAATACCTAGAAGTGGAATTGCTGGATTGTATAGCAATTCTATTTTTAATTTTTTGAGGAGTCTCCATACTGTTTTCTATAGTGGCTGCACCATTTTACATTCCCATCAACAGTGCATGAAAATTTCTTTTCTCTACATTCACACTAATACTAAATACTTTTTGTCTTTTTGATTTTAGCCATTCTGGCAGGTGTGAGGTGAAATCTCATTATTGCTTTGATTTGCATTTCGCAGATGGTAGTGATGTTGGACATCTTTTCATGTGCCTGTTGGCCATCTGTATTGTCTTAGAGATTTTTCTTGTTTCTTGAGGTAGGCCTGTTTTGATGTAAACTTCCCTATTGGATCTGGTTTTGCTGTATTTCATAGATTTTGGAACATTGTGTTTTCATTTTCATTTGTCTCAAGGTATTTTTTAATACCCTCTTTTATTTCCTTATTGTCCTGTTGGCTTTTTAGTAACATGTTTTTTAGTCTCTGCATGTGTATGTTTTTTTCCAGTTTTATTCTTGTAATTGATTTCTAGTTTCGTATCATTATGGTTGGAAAAGACACTTGATATGATTTCAGTCTTCTTAAATTTATTGAGACTTATTTTGTGGTCTGTCATGCTATTATTGTAGAGGAATGTTTCATGTGCTTGAGAAGAATGTATCTTCTGTTTTTGGGTGGACTATTCTGTGTATCTGTTTAGTGTATTTGTTCTAATGTGTTATTTAAACCATTGTTTTCTTACACATTTTCTGTCTGGATGATCTATCTATTGATGTAAGGGGTGTGTTAAAATCCCCTACTATTATTGTATTACTCTCAGGTTCTCATTTTTGTCTGGTAATATTTGTTTTATATATTTAGGTGCTCCAGTGTTGGGCACATAAATATTTACAAGTGTTATACCTTCTTGTTGGTTTAATCCCTTTATCATTATGTAATGCATTTGTCTTTTGTTATACCTTTTTAAAAAGTCTACTTTGTCTGATAAAAGTATTGCCAGCTCAGCTGTCTTTTCATTTCTATTTGCATGGTGTATCTTTTCCTATCACTTCACTTTTAGTCTGTGTGTGCCTATAGAGAGTGAGTCTCTTGTTGGCAGCAGATAGAGGGTTTTGTTTTGTTTTTTTACTCATTTACATTCGAAGTTGTTACTGACAGGTACATATTTATTTATTACTATTTTGTTAATTGTCTTCTGTTACATTTATAGTTCTTCTCTGTTTCTTTTCTTGCTCTCTTTCCTTGTGATTTGATGATTTTGTTTATTGTTCTGTTTGGATTCCTTTTTGTTTCTTGTGTACCTATTAGAGGTTTTTGTTTGTGGTTACCATGAGCTTCATATCTAACAACCTATGTGTGTAGAAGCCCATTTTAAGTTCGTGATTCCTTAAGTTCAAATGCATTCTAAAAGTACTCCGTTTTTACTCTCATCTCCCAATGTTTTATATTTTTGATATCATATTTTAAACTTTTTATTTAGTATATTCCTTAATTATTGTAGATATAGTTGATTTTATTACTTTTGTCTTTCAGTCTTTATACTTGCTTTCCAAGTGAGTGATCCCCTACTTTTACTATATGTTTGCCTTTACCGGTGTGATTTTTTTCTTTCCTTTATTATTTCTAGTTATAGCCTTTTTTTTTTTTTTTTGCCTGAAGAATTCTCTTTAATATTTCTTGTAAAGCATGTTTAGTGGTGAATAACTTCTTTAGTTTTTGCTCATCTGCGAAATTCTTTATCTTCCTTTCAATTCTAAATGATAATGTTGAGGCATATGTCTCTTTAGGTGACTCACTTTTATGTTTCTCATAAATATATGGAAAAAACTAGTAGGAAAGACAGCTTTATACTTTGCTTTGAGGTCTTTGAAACATTAAGTGTGTGTGTGTATTATTTTTTTCAAAGATGGACCACGACCTAATCAAAAAGAAATACTTTCTCTACGAGCATTTTTGTTGATGTTCATTAAGCAGTTAGTGATGAAGGTGAGTTTATACTACTTCTCCTTTAGCATATTCTGTATTTTAACTTATAATTTCACATAAGATACAATCTTGGGTTTATTTACTCTTTGTAGGGTTATTAGGGTTACACATTGGAAAATACTCTGAAAGATACTTGATTCTGTTTTTTGTTCTTTATTGCACACATGGATGTACATCATTGCAGAATTGGAGATTGATAATTGTAATATATGTTATATGAATTTCTCTAGGGGTTCAAGTGGATTCATTCATTCAGTAAATATTTACTGAGTTTCTCTTAAGTACTAGGTATTATTCTTGGGAGTAGTGATACAGTAGACAACAAGACTCTTCAAGGAGGTTTCATTTTTAGTGGGCCTCTTGTACCTGACATTCAGATTTTGAGAAAAAATTACTGTGTATAAAGGTACCAGAAAGATGTATCAGCCTTTAGAAATTATTACATTTGTCCCATCTTATTCTGTTGTAGGTGAAGTAAAATTTATTATTTTTAAGGAAGGTTTTTTTGTTTTATAAGAGAGCAGTGTATAAATGTATTTTATTTTTAATATTTTTAAATATATTTATTTTAATATTTTATTATTTTCCTATGTCATTTTCTTATTTTTTAGAATTTGATATTATGTTAAGTGGGCCAAACTTTTAGTGTATCTTTTAGACTCAGATACCTTATTTCTATTTACAAAAAAACTTATAACTTGATTTTTGTGTTTTTTAATTTTTTTCTGTGTCTTTTTGTTTCCTAATTCTCTTTCTTATTGCTCTTTTCTCATTGCAGCTTTGTGTTATCATTAATAAATTGATAGGATAGGTTGAAAATTTACATACTGAGTTCATATTTAAAAATGCAGTGTTTTCGTCAGGGAACAATACTACTCAGTTTTTAGTACCTGACCTTGTAACTGGTAATTTTAGAAGCTGTTCATTTACTCTCCAAATTTAATAGAAAAAAGAAATAGAAAAGCTGTCTTCTGTATTTGGTGGAGTGATAGGTGTGAATAGTACTCTTTTATGATGAATTATTGGTTTTCTTACTTCAGGATTCTATAGCTTTATTAGACAGCCTGTCATATATGGTTCTGAAAACAGGATACTTGATATCATTTCTTTGACTTCTTCTACACAGTCTTGATTATTGAATATCTTTAGTGTTTCCCCTAATACATGTTTTAAATTTAGATTCTATATTATAGTATCTTTGTATATATAGCAGTTGACCAGGTTGATAAACGTTAAGTGTATTATTTACCTTTAAAAACAACTTTTTTAAATGCATGTATAAGATACTTTAAGACACTTATGTTATGTTTTTAAAGGATTCTGGAGTAAAGGAAGATGAACTGCAGGCCATTCTTAATTACCTACTCACTATGCATGAGGTAACATTTGAAATTTATATTTTGAGATTTTATTTTTTGAAGCTGCATTATGGTCTTTTTTTTTTTTAAGATTTTTTTTATTTATTTATTTGACAGAGAGAGAGACAGCGAGAGCAGGAACACAAGCAGGGGGAGGGGGAGAGGGAGAAGCAGGCTTCCCGCCGAGCAGGGAGCCCGATGTGGGACTCGATCCCAGGACCCTGGGATCATGACCTGAGCCGAAGGCAGACGCCCAACGACTGAGCCACCCAGGCGCCCCATGGTCTTTGTTTTTAAAATAAAAAAGTTAAAGTGATCTTTCATTAATATAACTATAATGGAGAGTAAATGTACCTAGGAACTAAATCTTAGCAACTTTCATTTAAATACCTTTTATTACCACAAGAAGCTCTGAGAATAATCATGAAAAGTTTTAAAAAGTTTTGAAATTAGATCTCATTGAATTAATAAGAAAGTATGCCAAAAAGGGGGCGCCTAGGTGGCTCAGTTTGTTAAGCGACTGCCTTCGGCTCAGGTTATGATCTCAGGGTCCTGGGATTGAGCCCCGCATCGGGCTCCCTGCTCGGCAGGAAGCCTGCTTCTCCCTGTCCCACTCGCCCTGCTTGTGTTCCCTGTCTCGCTGTCTCTCTCTCTCTGTCAAATAAATAAATAAAATCTTAAAAAAAAAAAAGAGAGTATGCCAAAGAATACCTTCATTGTATCTCTAGGAACCTGTGTAACATATGGGAAAATAGGTTATGAAAATGACTAAAAATGATTAGATTTTTAAATTCATAAAACAATCTTCCAATTGATTTTGCATGTTCAAATACTTTTAAGTCAAACAACTTATTTATAATGGGATTTGTAATTATGTTCAACCACATAACAAAGGTTGAAAAATAGTGAAATGTTTGGGTTTTTTTTCTTTATTATTTTGCCCTGGGAGAATGTAATACACGCCAACGTAATCTAATTAAGTAATTGGATTAAGTATTTGTTAAGTAAGTAAAATTTAGAATTGATGTAATTTCATGTAAAGCACAGCATTTCAAATGTTAATTTCATTTCTGTTTATAGTTCATGTCTTGTGTTTTAATAAGTATCTGTTATAGTGTGAAATAAATGTCTTTTTAAATCATCAATAGATGGGAGATACTGTTTTGACCTATCGCTCTTAATTGAGGTAGAAGAGTGGATTAAATTTCTTGTTTGGATCATATTTGACTCAAACCTAATGATTGTGCTTTCTTTTTCCTCTTGATTAGGGTATTTTATTTGTTGATTTCCTTTACCCAATATAATAGTTGAAGATTTTTCAACTGAACTTCCTGGTAATGTTATTGTATATGATTTTGTTTTTTATTTACTCTAACTCCCTATGGGACTGAAGTACTTTAAAAAAGAGAAACTGGAAATCATGGTGATCTTCCCTTTTCTCTTAATCGGTTAATTCAGAAATCTTTTAGGTCTTTCAAATAAACCTTTTCCCAAGCCTCAGTGCCCGAGCTCTAGATGATCTGCTTAGCTTACTGAAAATTAGATGTTCAAATAGCTGCAGTTCCAAAGCAGTGAACAGAAACTTACAGACAGGGCAACAGAGAAAACTAGCTCTTGATAGCTTCTTCCCTTGTCCTTTTTGAGTCAGTATTGCCAAGTTGGTTCTAAATATGCATACATACTGGAATATTCAACCAAGGCTGCGTAGGATTGTCTTGGAATTGTTTTGGATTTCAGAACTCATATATGCTTCTGTGCTGTTCTGTCAGTATTATCAAGTTATACTACATACAATAGTATGTTGCCTCGTAAACATTTACTGATAATCTCTATCTTCAATACTGTCAACAGATAATATATGTCCTTGGTACCCAGGACCATCTGGCATGGTCCCAGACCATGTACCATGGCCATGCTCTGGCATGCCATACCATACCATGCCATGCCATGCATGTGTTAAAAATGGCCTGGGCCACATGCACATGGCATGCATAAAAATGCAGAAAAGTATGCTGAAGAAGACCGGCGAAAGAAGGAACGAGTTGAAGCTGTTAATATGGCTGAAGGAATCATTCATGACACAGAAACAAAAATGGAAGAATTTAAGGACCAATTGCCTGCTGATGAATGCAACAAGCTAAAAGAAGAGATTTCCAAAATGAGGGAACTTCTGGCTCGAAAAGACAGTGAAACAGGAGAAAACATAAGGCAGGCAGCATCTTCCCTTCAGCAAGCATCACTGAAGCTCTTTGAAATGGCATACAAAAAGATGGCATCTGAGCGAGAAGGCTCTGGAAGTTCTGGCACTGGGGAACAAAAGGAAGATCAAAAGGAGGAAAAACAGTAATAACAATAAACTTTGGAGTCGAAATATCATGCTTGGGAGTGAAGGGACTTCCTGAGCAGAAATGGGCAAACTTCAGTCTTTTACTCTGTTTTTGCGGTATTCTATATATAAATTCCTTAATATGTAAATTTAGTGACAGTTAGCTAATGATCATTTAATGAG